TTGATGATAGAACTTAATACCAACTCATGTAAGTATGTCTGTCAATCCAATGGCCATGACATAGTGGGTTAATTTTCTTTACCACCTATGTAATTTTTCATGGTGACTTCAATTGTTATGCCATCATGAAAGTTAGTTTAGCACAAGTAATTACATAGGATGATACGACATCAAGTTTAGCCAAACAAATCAGAAAATGTACCCTTATATTCAGTTTCTGAAAGAATTTCAAGTTATCTATGCATGATGGCTCAAACTCAAGGCTTAAACTTAACTGCAATTTCTTTGAATCTCTATCCTTGGGGAGCACCAAGTATATATTCTCTTTTCATTTATCCATGTACTCCATTGCCATGTCTCCATTCTAGAATGATAACCTCAAATTACATAGCTTTTAGTATCAGATACTTATACCTCGAAAGTAGACAGTTTCTTTGCATCTGTCTTTGGGGAACACAAAGAAATTTATCTCTTTTCACCCGTACATGTATTTTCTTTCTATATGTTTTGGCCTTTGTAAACATCTTATTTATATACACAATTTTATCCGAATGTCTATAAGTTGTTGAACATGATGTATTGCCCATGCATGTAAGAATAAGCGTCGGCATACATGTTACTATACTTCTTTAATCCAATATCTTTTTTGTTTCACTAATTAATATAATTCGAATTCTATAGTCATTGAAATACCTGACATGTAATGGTTTTTTCTGCAGTTTGTTCACGAGAACATTCAATAGACGCACATTTATATGGCAGGCTGGTTGGGAATGATAAGAGTAAAAGCAGAACTACATTTGATAGAAAAACATGTAACAATAAAAAGGATTATCGAATATTTCTTGCGAGTGCATTGTGTATGAGCATTGCAATTTGTATGTTTAGCCCCTGTTTGTGCCATATTTTTGGCTCATTTTAATGAAAAATTGGACCGTTTGGTCCTGCGGCTCTCTAACACCCATTAAAGAGTCACATGGTAGAAATATATATTATTTCCTCCTTTGCCCTTCTACTGCTTTCCCAAAACACTCCGTCTCCAGACTCTCTCAAGTGACTAAAGTCCCATTTTCGTCTCCAGCAACGCCTTCTGTAGAAGACCTTCCATTCATTTGCGTGATTATCGCAAAGGTCACCGGGAAGCGACCATCAACCGACAACGGAGCAAGAATACAAGGTACCATCTGGGATTCATTTTCGTCTGGGCGTGCGTTCATGTTCCCAGTCTGCACAAAGTCTTTTCGATCGGCAAAAAGTCAGTAGTCCAACGTCGGCATCCCTGCTGCCTCTGGTTGAAATCGACGACAAACCTCATGGATCCACACTCTAGTGAGGTAAGTCGATGGCTAAGCACACCATTTACGGTTTATATTTTACTTTTGCTTTTTTCCGACCACTTGGCGCTCCCTCTTTGTAGATGGGCTCCAACCCATAGTAAGAATCTTCCGATGCACAAGTTCTTGCAAACAAGGGCTTAGAATTAAGAAGAAACGTGAGGTAGAAGCCGGCAGAACAGATGACGTTCATAGCAGCTTGTGAAACTGCCATTGCTGAAGTCCATCGCCATGGCAGGTGTTTCATGAAACAAGGCTGGGAGCATGTGGTTGCATTATTCAATTCGTCGTCCGGCCACAATTGGATAAAACAACAACTCCGCAACCACTAGGGTACAATGCGTCGTGACCAAAAATGCCTCCGCAAACTCTTATCCTGCAGCGGGTCAAGTACGATCCGCCAACGGGTCACATTGTAACATCTGAGGAGTGGTGGATGCGAAAAATCAGGGTAAGGCGCCGATTTTGAATTTGCAGCGTTTGTAACGTTTCCATTAATCACGACAACCTACAACCCAGACACAAATCGATATGCCCTACAACTATAGGGTAGTTTGCTGTTGTTTATTTGAGCATGCACATACCATGTTGTTGCCAAAAATTAAACTGAAGTTGTTAATCTTGCATGCCATGTGAAACGCAAACAAGGTTCTGATTTCGGCTTTTGTTATTTCTCCGCTTATGTACTTTGATTCGCTCTAATATTTGATAACAACTTTAACACAGCTAGGATGCTTCAGATACTCCCATGCCTTGTTAATTTCTTCGAGTGAAACTTCATGGGTCAATAGTTTATCCAGCTGAATTTCCTGTTCAAACAACATTTTTTTTTCAATCCATATATAAGAAGGCATAATCAAATATTTTTGGGAAGCAACGATGGTGTGTTTTCTTTTTTCAACAACTTAACTTTTTAAACGAGGTGATTCAATCAATAAAGCTTCTAGATTTCATCGTGAAACACAAAATGGATTCATACCTTATTTATGCATTTCTCAACTATTTTAAGGAGGTCTGTTTGAGGTCTTACTCCACCATAAATGGGCATCTTAATTGTCCTACCTCACAAGAGCTGAATGTATTTGAGCTCCCCACTTAAATGAAGTCCTGGACCAATGAAAACTATTGTCCTAAGTCCCTGTTTATATGACACTGTTAAAAAGAAATTAGTCTTATGTTATGATCAATAGGAAAAGCCATTACTAATACTGAAATTAACGGGAAGATTTGAGGAATTTTACCACTTTGGATCCCTCAGTTGCTTCATTTAGCAGCTCTGGAACTCCAGTGCACTCATAACAGTAATCCACCCCTAGTCCACTTGTAGTCTCTTTGATCAATTCTAATACAGGTTTATCAGATTCTTTTAGATTGATAAATTCGGTCCCTGAATACCATGTTGTAACTAATTGATTCTTGCATTCGGTTGGTTAAACACTACAGTTAGGCAATCAATTAAGCGGGTTACAATTAGTTAGAATCAATGAAACTGTTACATGTAATCTGGTAGTCGTTATAACTGATGTGTGTGTATATATATATATACACTTCTTGTATATCTCTTGATCTATGGCTATAAATAAGACAAAGAGGGCTAAGAATAGAATGTGAGCAAGAGAGAAGCATTTTCTGTTGAGAGAGAAAGTGAGATTGAGAGAGAAAAGTCTTTGTAGACACTCTCTGAAACTTCCTGTGACTTTCTTCTGGTTGTTTCTCGGTTGAGTGATGAGTTCTTTATTTTATAAAACCATCACTATGTAATATCCTCTTGAATGGTAGATTGAATGTGAAAGAAAATCCCTGTAAGTTGGTTGATTAAAATTTGTCGCAGAAGCATGAAATTCTTGAGTCCATTAATCTGATTTTTGCTGAGTTTCTTTCCTACCAGGATATGTTTGTCTATAGCATATTTCAATTTTCATGCAATTTTTTTTTTTTTTTTGCATTCATTACTGCAGGAGAACAAAGACTACAAGGATTTCAAGGACAAAAATGTGAGCGAGATTTCATTCGCTATCACATGCTATTTGGTGAAAGCTACGACGATGACAAGTATGCAACGACCCCGAGCCTGTGGTCTAGAACGGGCTTAGCTGTATTTGAGAATAGTGCAGCAGGGGACCACTTGGATGACATTCCCGTTGATGGAGAGGGCAGCGATTCTAGCGATGAGGGAGACGGTGGAACTGGTCCAGCAAGTATGAACACTTCGAGTGCTCGAAGTGGTGAGAAATGACAATCGTCCACAAAAGGACGGAAGGGGAAGCACAAGAAAATTTTGGCCCGTGATCTCTCATTTTTCTTGGAATGAGCGACCATTGCAGTCGATGAAGTGGCCGCGAAGCTCAATATCATCATACATGATAACGAGAACATTGGGGCCGCATGTATCAAGGAGTTGCTCATGGCAGGAAGGCTACAGCGTCGCACCCCTCTGTATTTCTATGCCTATACACTCCTGGTATAGAAGCGCTATCGGGATATGTTATCTGTCATGAGAGATGCGGATGAAAAGTTCGAATGGATTGAATAGCAGTTCAATGAGCGTGGCAAATCACTCCACTAGGAGTTCACTGTTTGCTACGTACTTATGTAGTACTGTAATGGTATACCCGAACATTTAATTTTTCCTGTACTTTTACCTGCTCATAAATGGATGGGTAGCACACTTGTGTTTGTACTAATGTTATGTAACTACTATTGTCAATAAGTGTTGCTTACTGTTGTGATGTGCTTTGGTTGATTGTGGAAGGCGGGTTCGGGCGAGAAATTGGCAATAATTTGGGCCAATAAAACCATATGAATGCATGGTCGAATCATGGTGTTCAATATGATGGAGGTAATAAGCTCAAAGACCAAGATTTCATGAAGGTAGAGGAAGCCAAACAAACTGGGAGTAATTGTGCCAAGTAGGTAAAACCCATTACTCTCAACGTTGATCAAGTTAAATTAAAGGAGAATTGAAGAATACTAAAGGAGAAACCCATTACTCTCAAACCTTGATCAAGTTAATAGGATTTATTCTTAGGAGTCTAGTTACGTTTCTACAATAGTTTAGGAGTTTAATTCCAATTTTAATTAGGTTTAGGGAATGTTAGTATAAATAGGATTATTCATTGTATTTTTTTACAACTTGTATCATGTTGCGTATTTTACTCGTGTTGAATAGCATGTCCTATATATGTACTCATTTTTCAGGGAATCTTGTAGCCCATTTTTGCTGTATAACATGTCTCCAATCATGCAACCTTTGTCTTTTTTGTTTTCATTCTCCCAATCAATTAACCCACTTGCTACAACGAGGCAAACTTAGCTTTTGCATTCCCCTATATAAATGAATGTCCCCCAATGGGTGCCCAAGAACCTTATTACGATAACGTGTTCCTGGATTGGTAGTATGCTATGGGTGATCTGAGCTTTGATTGCGTGCTACAACCAGGATCCGACGTAGAAGAAGAGGATGAGTTGTTCGACCATCTTGCGAATGACGTGACAACTTGGGTTACATTTTCAGCCGTTGCAGGGACCGATGCTCGAATCTATTATCGCACACAGCGAAATTGGGTGCGACGATTCCCGTTCTCCAGAAATGGGCACATGTTCATGATGTAGGCTATGAGCGAAAATGGAAAGATGTGCTACCAGGAGTTTTGAATGTACCCACCAATGTTGTGCCACTTTGCACATTTGCTGCGAGACGAATATGGTTTAACAAGTAGCCCGCAGGTAGATATCTACAAGAAAGTTGGTATGTTCCTGTGCATACTTGCACATGGGAAGGGATATCGGCAGGTGACAACGATTTTCAATTACTCTTTGCAAACCGTCTGTCAATTCTTCAAAGAGGTGCTATGTGTCATCGTTTTGCTATCTGAACGTATTATACGATCGGCGCATGACTACAATGACGGTGTCGAGCCACACAAGCCGGACCCGAACAAGCATCCACTATTTCAGGATTGTATTGGGGCTATTAACGAAACACATGTGCGAGCCGTGCTCCCGCGTCACAAATGGGTGAACTTTATTGGTCGAAAAGGAATACCAACCCAAGATGTGTTGGCCGCATGTGATTTCAATTTATGTTTCACATTCGTACTTGCTGGTTATACCAGGAACACGCATGATGCACGGATTCTAGCTCGCGCTATCTACAGCCCGGAGATAGAATTTCCCCAGCTAGCAACGGGAAAGTATTATTTGGTGGATTCCGATTTTGCTCATCAACCGGGGTATATGGCCCCGTACAAAGGTTCAGACATACTATATCACTTTCAGTAGTTTCACGACAAACAAACAGGTCAGCGTTGTAGGTTTTGAAATGGTCGTGAGAAGTTCAACTTCAGGCACTCTTCGTGCAGGAATGTCATTAAACGTGCATTTGGTGTGTTGAAGCAAAGATCAAAAATCCTTGATCGTATGCCTAGTTACTCATTCCCAACACAAGTTGCAGTTGTCTTAGCTACTATGGCCATTCACAATTTTCTGCGTCATTTGGGAGTTGTGGACGAGGCGTTCGCAAGAGCAGAAACGGATGATAACGTTGCCAAGGTGGAGTTACCTAATGTTGAGGATGAAATTCAGGTCGAAGTAAATGCACCGGAGATACAATGGAATGAGTGGGATAGACTTCGCAATTACATGGCACAACAATCGTGACGATCGCATTTAGGGACCTCACGTGCAACACGTGAAAATTGGTTTGAAGGTACTTCAACACTTTGACTCAATGTTGTCGTCACCGTTGCAAGAGTTCTATCCGTGTGTTATGTGTATGTACTTATGTTGAACGTGAAAATTGGTTTGAAGGTACTTCAACACTTCGTATTTTTTTTTCCATTCACAATAATTGTAGGGACTGTCTGCCTATTGACATCTTTTTTTTTTTTTTTTAATTTACGTTGTGTTCGGTTCAAGGGGGGACGTCTTTGTTATTTTGAGTTTTTATTTTTTTTGTTTGCAAACATCTAAGCAATTAAAATGGTCGCCTAAAAATCTTGGAAGTGGTTGTATCTGTCTTCATTGTGTTTAATAATGCAAAAATATGGCTGAAATTTTTTACTATTCTTTGCCCATTTCTGTGACTGTCTTCATAATGCAGCCTTTTGACTATTCTTTGCTCACTTCTGTGACTTTCCACAATTTGCTAACACTTTCATGTGGAATGGACAAAATCAGAAATTTTATGCTTCTTGACTGCTGCAACATCTGATAAGTGTACTATACAGGGGCCCACCATCACAGTTGAAACGGTCGAATTTTTCATTAAAATCAGCCTAAAATATGGCACAAAGAGGGGCTTAGTATAGTTCTGAGTTGAGTTTTCAATTTCTTTTAGAATTTTGATTACAGCATAGGTTCAAAAAATAAATTTTTAAAAATCACATTTGCCAACTAAAATCAAAGTCTGAAAATGTCAACTGCACAACGTATCCAAATTTTAATTGGTCCATAAATGGAAATTTTTCTCGACCAACAACAACTATCGGTCAATGTTTACCACCATCACTCACGACTTCTTGACAAGTGGTATTGCGACTTCTGTTTTACTTTTCCTGACACAAAATATGATCATAAAAAAGTTGAATCTTTACCGACCAATATAATTTTCTTAAGTAAAAGTCTCTGTGTTTTCTGACTAACTTATATTCTAGTTGATGAAACCTTTTCTAGTTGGCTTTTGGCCGTGATCAGCTATCGACCAATATTTTCTAGTTAGGTATTGGCTTTTACTGATATTGGACTTTAGCGACCAATCTTTGGGTTAGTAAAACTCATGTTTCTTCTATCTATAGATGATGGCAGTTCGCATAATTGCACAAATATCTCTAGTGAATTAAGTTCCCAATGTCATGAGCCAATTTTCTACAAAATAAAACCTTTCAAAATCTAGCAATCTATGCAGTTTGAAACCATTTGAAAACTAGGTCAACCAAGGATGACATCTTCTTTTAGAAAGTATGCTTGAAAAGAACATGACAATAAAAAACAAGGCACAAAGAATTAATCCTCAATCCTAGCCACCAAACTAAAGAGACTAACATTGATTAAGCCACAGCTATATTTGGACAAATCATTTATGGGAATTATATGGACAGCAGCTATATTTGGACAAATCAATTATATGTATTATAGAGACACGATACGATTATGGACAGAATATAATTTTGCCTTATACATTATTTCTATAAATAGTCCTAAGCTTGATGTATAAGTACGGGAAACCATCGTCAATGAAAATATAATGGAATTTATCTTTTCCTTCATGGTATCAGAGCAATAACAGGCGAACACCGAGCATTTTTCGATCCACTTTCTCACCTCCTTTCAATGGCACAGACACCAAAGTCAGGGAAGTCTAGCACTTTAGACTTGACAAAGTTGATCACAAAAATGTCCCAATTCACCACCTCCTTAGCCAACACCTACAATATCTCATCCCAATTTCCAGTTCTCGTAGATAAGAATAATTATCTCAGTTGAAAATCTCAAGTTATAGACATTCTGGACATTCATGTACTTGGAGAATTATAAAAAAAATACTGTGGATCCACCCAAAGTGATGGCAGATGGAACTGTCCACCTGGATTTTGCTTGAGACAAATTAGTTTTGAGTTGGATCAAGGCAACATCCTCACCTTCCACCAAAACACTCCTCATCCCATGTTCTACTGCATCTCAGGCATGGAGCCTATTAGCTAAACGTCTCTCACCACTAGTGGGCAGCCACGTGCCACTCCTCCAGGATGAAATTCGAACACTTAAATGGGATAATAATAGCCCAATATCTGACTCTCTCAATCGAGTAAAATCACTCTTAGATTCATTAAAGTAGGCTGGTGGTTCTATGAATGAGGATGAACTCATCACCTACACTGCTAACGGACTTGGACTCAAGTTTAGAAATTTAGTAACAACACTCCATATGTACCCCGATCTAGAATTTGACCAATTTTATTATTTAGTTTTGAAAGAGGAGCACTTACAGAAAAGACTCAATCTTACCACTACTTCTGGAGTTGCCATGGTTGCTAATCGGAGGCTCTCAGAATTAGAATACTTTCTCTCATCATGGTGGTAAAAGGGGCAGAGTCACCTATGGTTGTGGACATCGATTCCCTCCTTTTAGTTACTATCCATCGACAGGAATCATAGTCACCCTCCTTACGATCAGCTGTCACCATCTCTCTCCGACGGATTCCCTCCTCTCCTTCCCACATTGGTGGCTACTTCTTCACGCAAGAATCCAATTTGCTTTAGGTGTGACAAAATGGGCCACATTGCTCGTTATTGTCCAAACCATGGGCCTCAGGCATTTGTGGCCCAACATACTTCCTCACCCACAGCTGCCCAAAACTCCACTTAGTGCTTTGATTCCGAGGCAACCCACCATATAACTCCCAATCCATATGGTATTTCAGATTATTGCCCTTATACAGGTATAAACACTATAGTTGTTTGTAACAAAAATGAACTAAATTGGGAATACAATATTAACTAGATCCCAAAAATTATTAAATCTTAATGAGGTTTTATGTGTTCCTGCCATTAAAAAAAATTAATTTCCATTCGACGTCTTTTTCGTGATAACGCCTGTTTTCTTGAATTTGATAGTAATGGATTTCGTGTAAAGGACAACGGGATAGGGACTATCATTCTCACTAGGAATAGCTCTGATGGACTCTATCATATTCAACCATCTCCTCCCGACACCAATCAAATGGCTTTCTATGGTGCTCGCATGACTCCACATGTCTGGCATACTTGCCTTGGCCACCTTGCACAATCTATCTTTAATATTTTGTTGCATACATGCAATTTATTGTTCATGGAGCAATTAAATCTTTTAAAAACTATCATATGTGTCCATTGGGCAAATCCTATCAACATCCTTTTAACTATCGTAATTTCCATGCACAATATCCATTGGATTTATTACACCTTGATTTATGGGGTCCCTCGCATATTGCATCACACCAAGAATTTCATTACTATTTATCCATTGTTGATGATCATACCCGATTCACTTATCCATTGGGACAAAAATCAGAGGCTCTCTCCACCTTCGTTATGTTTAATAAAATGGTCAAAAATCGGTTTACGTCCACTATTAAACAAATTCAAATTGACGGTAGAGGTGAATTTACGAAGAATATTTTTCTCTCATTTTTTTGTGATCATAGGATTTCTTACCAAATTGCTTGCCCACACACTCCTCAGCAAAATGGAGTGGTGGAAAAAAAAATCACCCCATTATGAGTATGGGCCTTTGTCTCTTAGCCCAATCTCATCTTCTGTTCAAATTTTGGGTAAAGACCTTCTCTATCGCAGTATTCTTGATTAATCGATTGTCGATACCTCTTCTGGGATCCAAGTCTCCATTTGAACAGTGTTTCTCTTGGGTTCCAGATTATACTATCCTTAGGAGTTTCAAATGCACTTGTTTTCTTCATTTAGTACCATGTAAGAAACATAAACTTGCATTTAAATCCACACCTGTGTATTTCTTAGATACGCAACTCACCACAAGGGATATAGATGCCTTGAGTTGACTAGCAACTGAGTCTATATTTCACAAAATGTTTCTTTTGATGAAACAACCTTTCCATATGCTACACATTCACTTCCCGATGCAACTTATATGCCCACCGATCCCAACTTTCCTAATGCATCGAGTGCAAATTTAATTGGCCCTCATGATATTCATTCCCCAGCCATTGACCCATTAGAAATTTAGACCAATTCTTCTCCATTATTGATCCCAATTGATACTTCTTGTAAACTTTCCTCTTCCGTGCATGGGTCCTCATCTTCTTTGGGCCCCCTTCCCTGAGTAACGTATACACTCTCCTTCCTAGAACCTTACTTTGGACCCACTTTCACCTTATATTAGCTCAATTCCCCAGCTTACCCCTCCACATAATGACACTAGCCCAGATCTCTCCTTCCAAAAACTAGCCCATGCTTCTCTCTCCTTCTCCCCCGACTTCCCAAACCCTCCAAAAAAGTTTGGCTCCTTTTCCTTCCTCTACTCTCAACATAGTCCTCACCCTTTATCTCAGGCACTATCTGCTATATTATCCAGTCCCTTGAATTACAAACCTACTAGCTTTACAGTTGCTTCTTGATATCCTCATTGGAAGTCAGCTATGGATGATGAGTATGATGCTCTCATGCGTAATAACACATGGACACTAGTTCCAACCTCTCCTATGAACATTGTAGGTTGCAAATGGGTCTTTAAAGTAAAACACAAATCAAATGAGTCCATTGATCGTTACAAAGCAAGTCTTGTGGCCAAGGGGTTCAATCAAATGGAATATCTTGACTTTGATGAAATATTTTGTCCAATGGTCAAACCAGCTATGATTCGCACAATCCTTATTAGGGATGGCAATGGTTCGGTTAGGCCAAAACCATCACCGAACCGTCAAATTTTTTGTCATACCATAACCACACCATAACCACGTAAATCGGTTCATTTCGGTTCGTATCTCGGCCTGGCTTGGCTCGGCTCGATTCAGTTCGGTTAATAACCACGAAAATAAATTATTTTTTATAGGTCCATCCGTCAAATTGATATAAAACAATTTATGAAAAGAGAGTTAATGAAAACAGAAACACAATATTCCAAACGAAAATGCAAACATTATCCCAAATTCCAATTACAAAATACAAATTTAACAAACAATATTATAAATATAACAATACTAAATTTTTCCTTCATTCTTGATTCTTGTGCATTGTAGTTACTTGATTCATGCTCAATAATTCAAAAGTTTCAACCTTAACTCATATTCAATCTTCATTATTCCCCACAACTCTTACTAGGATAGGCCAGTACTCAAAATTGATTCCTATATAGTAAATAAAAAATATAAGTAGAGAATACAATGATACTACCTAATCTAGAATGGTTTTAACCAAGATTTAAATAAAAAAAATGTACCTCTTCATCAATTTCCTCCTCACTAAAGATTGTCATCCCTAATAAAAGAATGGTTTTTTTTAAGCGGATAATCGGCTCGGTTTAGGTTCGACAGTATAAATACCATAACCGCACTGTCACAAACCGATTCATTAAATCAAATACCATATCCGTCCCATTGCACCATCAGTTCGATTTTTTCGCCCTATTTGGTTAAGTTAACCACGGTTTTTGATTTTAACGGTTCAAATTTCCATCCCTAATCCTTACCCTTGCTATTTCCTATAGCTGGCCCCTCCAACAACTTGATGTTCAAAATGCCTTCTTAAACGAGGTCCTTGACACAACCCATCTCGAATCACCCTAGTGGACTCGAAACGTGACGTGCGCCGATGATAGATGCTAACTAGATGTCAAATCTATCACTAAGGCTGATTATGAGTTATTTCAAAAAATGCAACAAAATCAAGTGCTCATATAAAATATAATGCGATGGGCCCAAAATATTTACTTCATGCCTCATCAATATGAGTTATAATATTCAACATGCCGTGTGGCTCTCATTCCAAAATCATTAGGCTCTTCCAGCTAAAAAGAATCAATTGCTACCTGCAGGAAAAATCGTGGAAAAATATATGAGTTGATAGCTTAGTGAATGGAGAATTTCAAAAATAAATATACTCTTTCTATTTTACATTTTTATCGAAAAACGAGTTCATATCATTAAATAACTCGCAAGATAACATCATATAATTATAGTCGAAAAAATATGAGTTGATAACATCATTATTCCCCACAACTCTTCTCCTTTTTTCTTTCTTTCCTTTTCTCCTCTTCCTTCTCTCTTTCTCAATTTTTCTTGCTTCTGTCTATCTCCAGCCTTATCTCTCTACCTGTATATATCATATGAAAATGGCAATGGGTTAATTACTTGCCACATGTATTCCACAACCCATTTTGCATAGGAAGTCCTTATTCTTCAATTTAATATAATATCTAGTCCTTTACTTCCAATAATATATAAATAGATCCCTAAAATTAAGTTTTATCCATTTTAAACCTTTAACTATTTTTCATAATAAATTAAACCCCAATAAAATAATTTATTTCATTTAAATCCCTATTTGATATTGACTTTGACCAATTGATTTTTTGGACTTTGAGTAAATAATTTTCTTGACTTTGACTATGATTGAGTGGGTTATAACAATCTTACCTCCTTCAAAGAATTTCGTCCTCGAAATTCGATCAACTAGGATTCGAACACAAAGATATAGAGCATATATTTGAATACTTGCTCCATGATGCCTCTTTTTTTTTTTTTTTTTTTTTTTTTTTTGGTGATTTATCCAACAAACTTTAACTAGCGGAATTGACTTTCTGCACAAAATCTATTCATTTCCTATCCAAGATCCAAATTGATTTATCTTCATATGTAAGATTTTCAACCAACTCCACTGATGACCTTATAGCATTAGTTAAATCTGACGTCCATTTACTAACCCTCGAACATATGGAATACATGTTGAACCGATACCTTAAATATCATCCTAATATATGTGCTATTTTTAACTTTTCATTTTATCGCCTAACGATAATAAATACACAGTTTCAAGTTCGGCTCCTTTTTTAATGCCACAATCCCTAAATGTCAATTCCAATATAACCAACCATATATCATGATTTAATCATATCTCTTTATCAATCTACAACATAATCCATATTTTATCATTCCACTTAGAGAACATTTTCTACACCATAACATAAATTATTATCGTGAATCAATCGCTTATCATCTTTAGATATAAGAACAAATATATTTTTCAATATTTCCTGATAGCAAAACTCTTTCAATGAAGGGACAATAATAACATTTAATCCATGAAAAACTATACTCTTATTTCATAAATAGATCGTTGATCTATCATCAATGCATAATTCTTTTTGTATATCACAATAAGACCTTTAATTAAGATAATGTAATCTAAAGATAATATTTCACAATGAGTAAAATCTATATTTAATGATCATCTTAAACTTTAGACATAGCCAACATGTCCTACTTATATTCCTTAACAAATTTATTTTGACAAAAATGGAATACTTTGTTCATGATCCAAAATACAATTAAAAATAGCCCAAATTTTACATCACTAACATTTCAATAAATTCATCTTAACTTCAAAATTTAACTCAATACTTCCAAATTGTATGAAATATAACACAATGATCAACAAATGGCCTTAACAAAATTCATTAACTTAAATAACCCAAATAAATCATCACATTACTTTGCTATAGGACAATAATTACATTCATTTTCATGCTATTCACCATATCATGTTATGATCTTGTAACCTTGGTATTTATCGTCATATCGTATGACCTAAAACATTTAATTACATAAATTTTCCTTAATATCACAAGATGATAACCTTCATATTTATCACTTGAACATTTCACACATCCTTATACCGCATGTTAATTTCCCAATCTCAACAAACTTCGATTCTACCATACTCAATTTCAATTTTTTTTCCCACATAAACATACCTAAATGCACATATCCATTTAATTCTATTTTTAAAGCAACAAATCACCCCATAATGGGTAATCATTATGAAGTTCAACCATATTATTCTCACATTCCTTGTAATCAAACCACTTATAAATAATTGAATTATTATTAATTTCCTCAATGCCTAAAATACACAATAACACATGGTCATCTATCAATCAACAATCACCATTTTTTCTTCCACAATTTCTTATCATATAGCATAAATATACGCCATTATAATTTCTATTATCATCCCATATAAATGGCCACAAATCACCACAAAATTTTGATGACACTAAAGACCATTTGGCTTCAAAAATAATTAAAATTCCTTACTAGTTATCACCAATCACACATTAGATGATTTCCCTATATTTATCGTGCAAGCTATAACTAAAAATTTTCCTATGTACACATAAAAAAATCATATAGTTCTACAAATAAATTAATAATTAAGTGGTTGTAACATCTGTAACTTCGAATGCCCCTCAAAATCATCACAATCTGTTCAAATCTTAATAGGTTATATATACACATAGTTCCAACCCAACAACTAATAACATTTCCAACCATCGGATCACTACAACTGCCACACTTAAATACTAGTCATTTCTAAATTTGTTAAAAAAATGTATTTCTATCATTTTTTGTTCCAAACATTCAAGCTAGAGAGCTTCTGATTTCTGCCACCACGACATGTGAACATACCCATTGAACATGCATGAACCATAAAGATTTTTAAAACCGTACTCTGATACCATTTTGGCACGACCCGTCCCGAATCACCCTGTGGACCTGAAACATGACGTGCACCGATAATAGATGCTGACTAGATGTCAAATCTATCACCAAGGCTGACTATGAGTTATTTCAAAAAATGCAACAAAATCAAGTGCTTGTATAAAATATAATGCGATGGGCCCAAAATATTTACTTCATACTTCATCAATATGAGTTATAATATTCAACATGCCGAGTGACTCTCATTCCGAAATCATTAGGCTCTTCCAGCTAAAAAGAATCAATTGCTACCTGCAGAAAAAATCGTGGGAAAATATATGAGTTGATAGCTTAGTGAGTGGAAAATTTCGAACATAAATATACTCTTTCCATTTTATATTTTTATCGAAAAATGAGTTCATATCATTAAATAACTCGCAAGATAACATCATATAATTATAGTCAAAATGTGAGACATTCACATAATGTCGTAAAATGTCATCTCAAAATCATGATATAAATATCAGCTGATAATTATGCTATAATCTCATCACATCAAATGTACTTGAAAATCCACCAAAAATGTACCCTCTGACTAAATCTGTAATCCGCCCTTCGGGCTAAGAACTTTCGTCACGGGCCTTTGGCCCCCTCCGTAAACGAAAGCAGGTCTCAAAGACCTCTCATAATCAATTCTAGAACACGGCCAATGCCCCTCTGTGAACTGTATGTACATGATCAAGACCAATGTCAGGTCAAGACCCTTCGTGTCGAATAAAACACGGCCAAGGCCCCTCTGTGAATTAGAAGAAGTATATAATCACGGGTACTTTTTTGGCCGATCTCAATATTGCATGTTTCACATACCAAACAAATCTCAATATCACATGTCTTACATACCAAGTCACAAATATGCCATAAAGAATCTTTCATATTCCTCATGTATCATAATAAAAGAGATTTCCATAATAATCATAAAATTAAACGCATAATTGCATATAAATGCACACACTTTGATAATAGACTGAATTTATAAATACTTTAAAGATATTTATGTTTTTCCACTCACAGTACTATGTTCGTAAAATCAACCCGATTGATAAGCTGTTCTGATCTCAGCATTGTCGCCTGAAATAAGATATAATTTTTAAATAAACAATTAATTATTTTAAATAATTTCAATAATTAAATAGGCGATACCCAAACTTAATCATTTCACATTTAAGCGATTTCTAAAGTCTATTTAATAATTAAAACTAGTTTTTCTTTCACTTTACTCAATTTCTAAAGTCTCTTTAATAACTAAAATTGAATTTAGTCTAAAAATCAAACTATAAAATCAAACATAACTTGACAATAAGTAACTTTTTACTTACCTTTCAAAATTGAGGAATTCAAACCTAATAATGTAGACCACTTATTTACTAACAACATAGGCGAACTTTCCTTTTTTTCTTTTTTTTCCTTCCTCTTCTCCTTTTTTTTTTCTTTCTTTCTTTTTCTCCTCTTCCTTCTCTCTTTCTCGGTTTTTCTTGCTTCTGTCCGTCTCCAGCCTTATCTCTCTGCATGTATATATCATATGAAAATGGTAATGGGTTAATTACTTGCCACATGTACTCCACAACCCATTTTTGCATGGGAAGTCCTTATTCTTCAATTTAATATAATATCTAGTCCTTTACTTCCAATAATATATAAGTAGATCCCCAAAATTAAGTTTTATCCATTTTAAACCTTTAACTATTTTCATAATAAATTAAACCCCAATAAAATAATTTATTTTATTTAAATCCCTATTTGATATTGACTTTGACCAATTGAATTTTTGGACTTTGACTAAATAATTTTCTTGACTTTGACTATGAGTGAGTGGGTTATAACAGTCCTACTAAAAGAGGTCTACACGAAACAACCCTCGGGTTACCATGATCTCTCTCAGCCTCACCATATCAGCCATCTTCATAAGGCTCTCTACGGACTTAAATAGGCTCCTTGTGCTTAGTTTCAGTATTTTCACTCTTTCTTATTGGACCACCAATTAACTCACAATCATTGTGACACTTCTCTATTTTACTCACACTCCCCGGCTCGCTCTATCTTCTTTCTTGTATACATTGATGACATTATAGTCACCGGCTCAGCCATTCAAGATATCGATACCATTTTAAATCTCTTGCGTTCCACCTTCGATAGATGGGTGATCTCTCATTCTTCTTTGGTATGGAAATATCTCGCACATCTACCTCACATTTTTTGGCTTAAACAAGGTATGTGGTTGATCTCTTCAAGCGATTTAATATGAGAAAATGTAAACCATGTCTCACTCCACTTCCATCAGACAATCGACTCTCTTGCACCGACGGTGACCCGCTTTCAAATCCACTCTTTATCGGAGCATGGTTGATTGTCTTCAGTACCTCACTTTCTCTCACCTCAATATCTCCTTTGTGGTCAACCATGTTTGCTAGTTCATGCATAGTGCCCGAACCACTCATTTACAAGTCGTCAAACACATTTTTCGTTACACAAAAGGCATTATAGAACATGGCCTCGTGTTTGATCACTCTTCCATCCTCTCCTTACATGGGTTCTTCGACTCCAATTGGGCCGGCTCAGTTGATGATCGTAGGTCTACGACTTGGGCATGCACTTTTCTAGTGCCCAATCTTCATATATGGATGGCTAAGAAACAGACAACCATTTTTCGCTCTAGTATGGAAGCTGATTATCAGGCTCTTGCTTATACAACCACAGAACTTCGTTGGTTTAGTTATCTATTTCGTGAGCTTGGCATTTCCATCTCATCCGCTCTTCACATATATGTTGATAATGTGTCGGCATTCACTAGGATGCCAATCTTGTATTCCATGCTAGAACTCGCCACATTGAGATTGATTATCATTTTGTTCAAGAGCTCATTGTCCGAAAAGATCTCTTCGCACGCTATGTCCCATCGTCTCACCAACTCGCTGATTTCTTTACTAAAGGCCTCTCTTGTTATTGTTTTACGTTCCTACGGTCCAAGCTCAATCTCAGCATTGCTCTGTTAAGCTTGAGGGAGGGTAAAGAGACTAAGGTTGATTAATGAAAATAGTCCTAAGCTTGATGTATAAGTACAAGAAACCATCATCAATGAAAATATACTAGAATTTATCTTTTCCTTCACAAACTACCATAAAACCTGAATGTGCACATGCGTGGGAGACCCATCAGCCCTACCAATTCTATCTTTATGGTCACCAACAATGAGCCTAGTTGAGCTCAAGAATTGGGGGGGGGGGTTGTAGGTTTTGATAACAGCTTGTTTTTTTATCTCAGCTTTGCAAACTCGGCTCAGAAATGATTTGTTGCCACAGAGGCTAGGGAAAAGCAATGGAAGAAGACATGAGATGAAGGCCAAAACAAAAAGTTAATTCATCGGGCTTTGGACAAGCACCACAAAGGTAGCCACGTTTTCTGTCCATAGAGGCCACATTTTTCCATTCAATTTTCTCACAAATAATATCACAAAATGGCTAGGGTTAAACCATATAAGTAGTGTTAGGTTAGGCTTTTAATTGGACCAATAACAAAACTAAATGGGCCAAGATTTGAAGGCATCCAAGAGGTAATATAAATGAGTCTAGCCTTTGGACTTGGTTGTTGGTAATTATTTCACTCATCGACTGAGGTCTATAAAATATATTCGCTTGTTAATATCATATCCCATGATTTATTGGGTATCAGAACCCAACACTTTGCTTGATAAAAAAATTCTTAAAGAAAGAAAGATGTGGTAGTGAGAACACTAAAAACCTTTGGATAATGAAATTAATTAGTATGGATTAAATTTGCATGAAAAAATAATATCATTAAGCAATTTCTCCTCATTTTATAGCTTGAAAATATTGGATGGCAGTTTATCGATGAGCACTGGGTGTCAATTATCTTGGACGTGATTATTTACTTAAAATACTTCATAAGAGATCAAATTCACTAGTTTTTGACGAAATATGTGGGTTGAAAGTAAATGTTTTAGAGGAAATAAAATTGTAAATAAAAAAATGCCAAAATCCACATATTTGATGGTTGAGAAATATAATCCAAATTCAAGTACACTAGGTTACCACCCAGAATCAGTATCCAATAAACCTAACAATCATTTATTTTTTAAACCTCATATAACAATGCCGACGAAATTAAACAAGTTAAAATCAGTGGGAAAAAAAATAATAAATAAAAAATTGGCAAGCAGACCCTCGATGACCATCTCTTGTACGAACACGTCCCTAGTTATATTAATTTCATAGGATGATGTCATAAACTTAGTTTTCACTAAGTCCCCCAACAATTTCATACTTATGTAGTCCTTCATCAATTTTAAATTACTTATAAGACCCTTTTATTTTAAGAGCCATCAAGTTGACCAAACTAGACCCACATAATAAGGTTTCAATCATCTTGACCTTGACCTTAACCCTATCAACTCTTGACTTACCATGATCGAATTACAATCTCAATCTATTCTTCTAATATCGATTAAGCGGTCAAGTAAAATTTAATTCATTCATGGTCGCTAAATATAATGAATTAACTCTAGTCAACTCCAGTATTGGAATCCACGGAATCCCTATAGAAAACTCTTGAAGCTCATGGCAATACAGGTACAACTCTCCATTCTCATGGAAATACAAGCCATTCACTCAAAAGATGGACAAAAAAATAACTTCTAATAGTAAACTATCCAGCTTTATTCACCAATGATGGACCAATATGTTTGATCATAGATTATATTTATATGCATATCTGAGTGTTTTTCGTATGGCCAAAATTCTTTTATATTTTATCAATTATTTAGAAAACAATGAATAAATTCTAGCAAACATAAATCTTGAGTGTCTAGAATTGCATAGATTTTTCTTCTAGAGCACTAATCTCACCAATATGTAATAATCGAAAGTGGGAAACTGACGTAGCGGAAGATTATAGGGAAGATGAACAATCACATAATGAGAAAACATTCAAAAAAAAATTTTATTGAATTTCAAAACCGCTGCTTAAAAGGGCTTACAACGCTTTAAATAGAAAAAAAAAACACTAGCAAAATTCGAAAAAAAAAATAAAAAAAGATATTTTTCGAAAAATAGGAAAATATGAAATAACTACTAAGATGGAAAATCCTTATCTTCAGGACCATCCTCCAACAAACGGAATACAAATCCGAATTTTATGGAAAGAGATATTGCAAAAACAAAAATTATCATAAATAGCAAAAACGCTTAAACGAAGGCCTAAACGATGGGTTTTTGCCCAAAATTGCCCTTACATTAGGGCCAAAGGCACTGAGTTTGATTCATTGGCTCGATTCCGATCGAATTAGACTAGCAATTCGTCAAAAACGAACCAACCCGAAGTTATCATGAAATCAAAAAAACATTATTTTTGCCTCGCGACGGTCCCATTTCATCATAAACTCTAATCCCTTATGCACTTTATCAGAAACTCAACCAATATGGATTGATTAGTTTCAATACTCTAATTGAGTGCAAGCATAGACAAACTAAGGTAATGGTGCAAAATGGGGCATCGAATCTTGTAGTAGACCACAATTTTTAACAAATTTTAAATCACAAATTTTTCAATTTTTATCAAAATATACTAAAATTTTGATTATTAGTTACACAAAACACAGGCTTAGTTATCTAGTACCAACAAGATTAACTATGAAACAACCGACACTAACAAATTCAATTGTTTCTTTTACAATGAGCTTCAATTGCATGTTCCGGTCAGAATAATTAACTTTCAAATAAATGCATGGGATCACCCAAAAATTCTCAACTCCAAACTACAAAGAATAAATGGTAAGAAGACATAAGCATGACAATGCACACCGTCTATTTCGGATGATTCGTGGTACCTTTTCTCGTTACATGTCACTTCCTCGTACTCTATAAATGCAGTTCATGGAAGTACCATGATTTCCATTCTTCACATAAAAAATGAAATTCAAAGATTATCTTTCTGTCATATTTGCATTTCTTTTCATCGTCTCCTCTGTCGTGGCTGATATCGCATCTCAAGATGAGAAAAAGAGTGAGTATTAATGAAAATAAAAAAGAACAGAATTTTATTTTTCTTTCTGGGGTATTTATCTTTATGAGTTCTACCTAGATTTTCTAGTTTTGTCCAATATAAGCTAAAAAGTTTGAGTTGATTTATATGCAGTGGATGTAGTTGAAGAAGCAAAACAGCAATTAGCTGATCAGAAGATTGGCCATAATTATGGGGGCGGATGGGGTGGTGGACATGGAGGTAGTTGGGGCGGTTATGGAGGCGGTGGTGGTGGGGGTTTTGGACACGGAGGCAGCTGGGGAGGCAGTGGCGGTGGTGGACCAGGAGGGGGTGGAGGCAGTGCTGGTGGTGGCCAAGCAGGTGGTGGAGGCAGTGGCGGTGGCGGCCAAGCAGGCGGTGGAGGCAGTGGCGGCGGTGGAAAAGGTGGGGGTGGAGGCAGTGGCGGCGGTGGTGGTGGTGGACCAGCAGGCGGTGGAGGTGGAGGCAGTGGCGGTGGTGGTTGCCACTGGGGATGCTGTGGTTATCATCCCTGGACAGGGTGTTCCTGCTGCCACAGTGCTGAAGAAGCAATGGCCTACAGGCAGAATAAAAGTCCCTAGCTTGAGTAGTCTAAAACTACAGCATATTATGTATGTGAATAATGTGGAGTATTGACGTCGATCAATATCAATAAATATCAGTGTTTCTAATTTATATTAAGCAAACCTTATTTTTATCTTTTCATTTCAAATTATAAAGTTGTCCGTCGCCTTTGATCCGCTTCTAACTAAAGTTCACAACTATTAGATTTGAACTATTAACCTTGCAGTGTACAATTGGTAAAGGCAGCGCGGACGTAGGGGGACTCGACCTGGTAACCTCAGTCCATTTCATTTTTTATGTTTAAAAAAATTATGTGTAAATATTTTTTTAACATGTTAGCTCAGCTTGAAATTTTTTTTAGTCGAGTCCTGGATCCACCCGAGTAAAGATACCCTTGCAAAAACATTCTTCATTATTTGTATAGAATTGAAATTTATTAATTCACAAGTATTCTGAAGAAATATGGAAAAGATAACATTTATTTGGATAATTAGTATGTGGTATGGAATAAAAGTGGGTTAAATGGGTCAAGGGTATATAAACTTGAATAATGATATTCAAAGTGAAAACTGCTGATAGTCGTCTTATATAATATATACATGACAATTTATTATTTGATACATAAAGCAATAAAAAGGTACTATATTAATATATCAAATAATAAACTGTCATTAATATGCGATCGGTAATCTTCACTATATAGCATTGCTCTATAAACTTTATCCCATTTACCAAAAACCATATATAAACTTGGCTTTTTATCAACATTATACATGAATTTACATATTTGTATTCCATCTGTACATGAAATAATTTCCATTAATCAAGATTACCAAAACAATTTTAGTGACGGACGAAGTGTCTATGTGCAATGAAGTGGCAAACTCTTGACAAATTAATTACGCGAATAATCTATGAAATTTATTCCCTACATTAAAATCATACATGCACTTCACCCCCTCCCTCCCCCATTGTATCAAAATTATATATGAACTCAATTTTGTATGAAAATTATGCTTAGATTCACAATTTTTTAGTACATCCATACATGAATTAACTTTGATATATCAAAACTAACGATACAATCCCCGTGCCAAATGGTGTACAAGAAAATAATAGAATTTTTTTTTTTTCATTTCTTATTATTGGGTTATTTGTGATTTTAACTTTAAAGTGATCAGTAAACTCCAAACAGCTGAATTCAAAAAAGTAAAACATTTTTTTGCTTCCAAATGCATCAATTGAATGACAAACTTAGTCCAAACACGTGTTACTTAGTAGTTTATGTGAATGTTTTGATAAGACTGTAATGGAGTGATGCAGGAGGATCCGAATCGAGTGATGCTAATTTGTCAGATAGCACGATGATGGCGCTGAGATACCATGAGATGGCGAATCGGCGCAAAGATGGAAAGTGAATCACCATTATTTCCTTAATTGGGAGAATTTGACGCGTATTTGGTAATTTGGCCATAACTTTGGCTACAGTTATCGGAATCGCTATTATGACCCCAATCCGGAAAGCTCTCTTCGGCGCGCATGTCATGGCCACCCTATGCTGGGTGGACGTCAATTTCAAGCTCAAAATCCACTATTTTCCTTTCCAAAATCCAATTTTAAGTTATTTTTTACTATTTATGGTAATATTTCGTTTCCTTTTTCCATATGTTAGAAAACTCGAATTAAGCCAAATTTTTGGCAACTTACTTCTTTTACTTAATATTTTATTTTGGTATAATTTTGGGATTTTGCCATTTTTGGTAATTTTCTCATAATTTCGTATTTCGCAGCTATTTAACCCGGCTTGTGGGGTAGTTTTCATCATTCTGCATTATTAGTAATATTGAGTTGAATTCAGAGTATTTTCTCTGGTTTTTTGGGCGTTTTTTGTCGTTCTGTTCTTGCGAATCATCTGCTACAACAAGCCAATAGAATAATCACTATCTTACCCGGCGTCAGTTGGTATCAGAGCGTCAGCATCTTCTTAGGAGATAAATTTCATCAGTTATAATGGTTGGTGGACGTGGTCGTGGTCGTCGAGGATAGGTTCCGATTGAGGAAGTCCCGCACCGTGATCGTAATATTCAGCATGTGACGATTGAAGATTTGCAGAGACAAGTTGCGGATTTAACCCAACGTTTGGTGGAGCAGGAGTTCGGTAATCATGATGTAGAAGGTCACGATTCCGATACCAGTTTCGAAAACCCGTATCACCATTGTGCTCGAGTTTGGGAGCATCGTGGATGGGAGGATCGTCATGTGGATCTCGGTTTCAGAGTGGATCTGCCTGAGTTTTCTGGTACGTTGCAGGCTGAAGGATTTATTGATTGGCTGAATGAAGTGGAACGGATTTTTGAATATAAGGAGGTTCCAGATCGTGTCAAAGTGAAACTGGTCGCCATCAAACTCAAAGGTAGGGCATCTGCATGGTGGGAACAGTTGAAGCGTTCACGGTAACGACAGGGAAAATCCAAAATTACTAACTGGGAGAAGATGAAGAAGAAGATGAAAGGGCACTTCCTCCCTTTCGGCTATACTCAAACCTTGTTTCAGAGGCTTCATTCACTAAGGCAAGGCGCAAGATCAGTCAATGATTATACTGAAAAATTTTATCAGTTGGTGGCTCGAAATGATTTATCTGAGACGGAGGAGCAAATGGTAGCACGGTATTTGGGGGGATTAAGGCAGCCCTTGCAGGATCTTCTCAGCCTTCATTCATTGTGGACAGTTTCTGAGGCATATCAGCGAACACTTGCAGTAGAGAAACAGCAAAGTAGGAGGCCAGTGGTCAGAGGTGAAAGAAGTCAGCCAGTTCGCCCTCAAGAATCTCGTCCTGCTTATCAGCCACAGCGGGATAGTTCCAGCTCAAGTATTAAGTACTTTAGGTGTGGTGAACAGGGGCATAGGGCGACTGATTGTAGGAAGCCTGCTGGTCAAAAGAATAAAAATCTTCTGATTGAGGAGGATATGATAGAGGAGTTTGAGGAAGTTGGAGAACCCGTGTATGATGAGGGTGAAGATGAGGACGTGCTATATGGAGATAGCCAAGAGACCCTGGTCATTCGAAAGAGCCTACTGACTCCCAAGGGCGACTCAGGGGATGATTGGTTGAGGACCAACGTTATCCACACAACTAGCACAGTTGCTGATTAAGTCTGTAAGCTGATAGTTGATAGTGGCAGTTGTGAGAATGTAGTGTCTGAGGAGGCTATCGATAAACTGCAACTGAAGATGGATCATCATCCCAAACCATACAACTTGTCTTGGCTGAATAAAGGCAGTGAGGTAACGGTAGAAAAACGATGCTTAGTGTCTTTCTCGATTGGAAAAAAATATTTTGATAATGCTTGGTGTGATGTGGTATCAGTGGACGCGTGTCATGTTTTGTTGGGACGACCTTAGCAGTATGATCGCAGTGTTATCCATGATGGGCGGAAGAATACTTATTCTCTTAGCATCAAAGGGAAGAGAATTGTTTTGGTGCCTCGCAGGGAAAGAAACATCCCTGCCCCGATAGTTAAAAACCCCAATCTACTTTCTATGTCTAGGTTCTTGGTTGAGGTTGGACGTGAAAAAATAGTTTATGCTTTAATGCCTCGTGAAAATAGTACAGCGAATGTGGATTCAGAATTTCCAGCAGAAGTACAGCAACTACTGATGGAGTTTTCTGACTTGATGCCGGAGGATCTTCCTCCAGGACTACCACCTATGAGGGACATTCAACATCAGATCGACCTCATTCTGGGGTCGAGTCTACCAAACCGACCAACATATCGCCTCAGTCCCAAGGAAGCTGAAAAGTTGCAGCGACAGGTGGTAAAATTATTGGAAAGGGGCTACATTCGTGAGAGTATGAGTCCTTGTGCAGTTCCTACTCTCCTAGTGCCGAAGAAAGATGGGTCACGGCGTATGTGTGTTGACAGCAGGGCAATTAATAGGATTACAGTGAAGTACATGTTTCCAATTCCCCGTCTGGACGACATGTTGGATCAATTGTCCGGTTCTAAGGTCTTCTCAAAAATTGACCTTAAAAGTGGATACCACCAGATCAGAATTAGACCTGGAGATTAGTGGAAGACCGCGTTCAAGACACAGCATGGGTTGTACGAGTGGATGGTCATGCCCTTTGGACTATCCAACGTACCCAGCACTTTTATGAGGTTTATGCATCAGGTTTTACGGCCTTTCATGGGGAAGTTTGTGATAGTTTATTTTGATGACCTACTTATTTATAGTCTGACATGGGAGTCACATTTTAATCATCTTCATGCTGTCTTTGATGTAATGAGGACGGAGCACTTATTCATCAATCAGAATAAGTATTCTTTCTTCACAACTTCTGTAACTTTTTTGGATTTTGTTGTGTCTACTGATGGCGTTCATGCAGATCAATCCAAAATTGAGGCAGTTTTGAATTGGCCGAAACCAAAAACTTTGCACGATGTCAGGAGTTTCCATGGATTTGCATCCTTTTATCGTCGATTCATCAGAAACTTTAGTATCTTGATTGCTCTTATTACAGAGTGCCTTAAAGGGCGTGATTTTCAGTGGACTGAGGAGGCAGAGGCTAGCTTTCAGTTGGTTAAGCAGAAGACGACGGAGGCCCCAGTCTTGGCACTTCCGAATTTTGAAAAAGTGTTCGAGGTAAACTGTGATGCGTCTGGAGTTGGCATTGGTGGAGTTCTGAGTCAGGAGGGACGTCCAGTAGCCTTTTTTAGTGAGAAGCTATCGGGATCAAAGAAAAATTATTCCACTTATGACCTGGAGTTCTATGCCATTGTTCAGACTCTGAAGCATTGGCACCATTACCTGATACAGAGGGAGTTCATCCTTTTTACTGATCATGAGGCTTTGAAGTACATCAATGGTCAGCACAAGCTGAGTAGGCGACATGCAAAGTGGGTGGCGTACTTGCAGGAGTTTACTTTCACACTCAGGCATCAAGCAGGGAGTTTGAATCGAGTAGCAGATGCATTGAGCCTTCGCACATTACTCCTCACTACCATGAGCACCAAGATTGTCGGATTTGAGGCATTTCCTGATATGTATGCTGCGGATCCTTCATTTGGGAAGATAATTCGGAAGGTGACTGATAATCACCGACATGATTTTGTTTTACATA